AATAGCACGACAGGAAGAGGGTGGGTTAGCCAGTGGTCAGGGCGTGAGCCCGCCCACAGCCAGTTTCCTGCTCTGCTGTAGACTTCCTGTGAGCTCTGGGGCAAGTCACTTGGGGCCAGGGATGTAACGGTATTTAGGAGCCTCACATCCACTGAAAGCGATGGCTTTAGACTCTGTCTCAGGCCATCCTCTGTGCAGTGGGGGAATATCACTGCCCTACCTCCCAGGCTCGCCAGGCGCTCAGAGGCTATGGTGATGGGGCCATATAAGTACCTTTCACAGACAGAAACCAGGGAGACCAACAGCTCCATGGCTAAGGCACTGCCCCGGGTGCGGGGGGCCATGGATTGAATCAGGCAGCGTAGGCTGTGAACTAGTGCGTCCCGCAGCCCAACGGGCTCTTGACTATTCTGGGAGCTTGCTCTTGACCGTCCTGCTGAATGCTCTGTCGTAACAGACACTTTCCTGCAAAAAGTTTTGGTTTTGACGAATCAGCGTTTTCCAAAACAATTCCAGGTGACTTCCCCAAAGACACGTGGCACGTCACTGGGGGATCAAGCTGAGCAGCCCAGGGTCCTGGCTCACAGGCCTGTGGTCAGCTCACTAGACCATGCGGTCTAGGTTGCCTCATGATGCTATGACAGGCAGCCAAGGAGTCTCCCACACCAGAGGTATCCAGTCCAGCTCACAGGGGCATTAGCAGGGGTCAGGATCCAGCTTTATGTCTTAGTGCTCTTCAGATTCTACCTTGGCACTGAGCAATGGGCAAACTGCCCAGTGGTTCCAGCCGGGGAAGCAGCCCCATGTTCATTTGCTCTGATGTCTTAGGCCTGGAGAACCGGGCTAAAAATCTTGTTGGAAGGGGACTCTCAGGGACTGTTGTGGGTAGGGGAGGCAGCAGGCAGCATGGGCCTATGGGTAGGGTACAGGAGAGGACTGCAACAGACTTGGGTTCTAGCCCCACGCCTGCTGTGCCAGCTTGGGTTACTCATGTCTACTCTCTGTGTCCTGGCTTCCTTGTCCACCTTTCTGTCTGTTTACACTGTAAGCCCTTTGGCACAGGGGCTGAGCAGCGCTCCACCAGTGGGGCCCTGATCTCTCTGGGGAAGTGTTGTTTGCTACCTAGAAGACAATCATAATTTAGCTGCCCTTGATACCTGACTTTCCAGTATTTAATGGGCAGTACACAGAGCAGGATGCTGTGACCATCACACGTGGCTGGGCCAGGGCAGGATCTGGAGGGACCCCCAGATCACATGGAGAAAACACTTTCTAGGGTGTCAAGTTCATTGCCAGGCTTTATCTGGCGTGATCAAATCAAAACACAGGAGCAAAGTCTCCAGCCACTTCCCCTTCATGCAGCACCAGGATCCACAAACTCCAAAACAAACAGGAGACGCAGCCAAGCAGCCTCCACTGGGCAGCTCCTCTCTGCACAGCTCCCCATCTACCATTCCAGCCCCTCAGCCTCACCAGCCCCCGCTGCACTTGAGCGCCTCAGGTACAGTTAGGAAGCCCAGGACTTCCCACAGATCCCCTCGGGGGGGGGGGGGGGGGGGGGCGGGGGGCACTTCCTGCTGGGATTCAACTCCAGCAGCACTGCTGGGATTAATCCCCAGATCCTTGCTCTGCCATGCTCTTGCTCAGCGGGGCTGGGGACGTGGTCATGAAATGCCTCCTCCTGGATTATTGGGACAGGGAAACCTGATACGAAACTCTCCATTGCAAGGGTTTGATGCCGAGCACTGGCCGCACAGGACAGGAGCTGGCTACTCCAGGCACAGCCAGCCTGGTACTTGTGAGCTAGGATCATTCTCTTCTGGACAGAGCCTGCAGAGATGCTGGCTCCAGGGACACAGGCTGGGAGATGAACAAAGAGAATAGCACCTAGCTCTTTTCACCCAGAGATCTCAAAGCTCTTTAGCAAGGGGCTCACTATCATTATCTCTATTCTACAGGTAGAGAAACTGAGGCACTGCTAGAGAAGTGACCCAAGGTCTCCCAGCGGCAAAGCTAGGAAGTGAACCCCAGATCTTCTGAGTCCCAGTCTAGTGTCCAGTCCAATCCACCGGGACTCAGCGTGCTCATGCTGAGAACACAAGGCTGGGTGAGGATGTGGCTTTGGGTGGGGAGGTTTACAGGCCAGAGGAAAGGGGAGTGGATGGAGAAAGCTGCCACAGAGTTAGGCTGAGGCCTGCTGGGATGCTGGAATTCTAGCTGGAATCACCTGTCTGAGGCTTTCCTGCTGTGGCTGCCGTAGGGGCTCAGGGTTAACAGGACTTGTACAAACTGGCTGAAATGCAGCCTGGACAGGTGGCCAGCCTGAGGCCACAGTACTTGTGAATCACTGATTATCTGTATTGCGGCAGCACCTGGGAGCCCCAGGCCTGGACCAGGCCCTGCTGTGCCAGGCGCTGTACAAACACAGCCAATAGGTGAATACAGCCAGGCAAGGAAACTGCTCAGCGTGGCAGGCCGTGGTCTCAGCACAGCAGCAGTGGAGCTGTTGTACGTGTCCCGGCAAAGGAGAGCTTTTTAAGGGGACAAGGAAGTGGCTCTGTGGGTGTCTATAAGGAGCTCCTCCTCCAGCGTGGGAGGAATAGCGGGGAAGGTGTTGTTTGAAAGTCACAGTGAAGTCCAGCTATGCCTGAGGACCGGTGGGCCGTGTGCTGGCTCTGCGCAGGGATGCCCGTCACCTGCAGTGATGGAGTCAATTTGCTGAATGTCTAATGGCTCTCAACTGACGTGATCTCCCTGCTGCTGGCAGGATGGAGAGCCATAGCCCAGGCCCCATCACATCACCCTCTGCCCACGGGCAGTAAATGTTGATTTCTTCTGCCTGGCACCCACTGTATTTCCCACTGTGGCTGTGATGGAGTTTCCACATGAAAAATCGCTCTTGGGATACTTCAGGCCTTCCCCTTCCAGACCCCTTGGGAAGTAGGAAGGGCAGAGGGAGCCAAAAACCGAACAGGAAAAACACCAGAAATCACTGGAGCCTTTTGGAAGGGTTGTCTCTGCCTGTTTTTCCACCCACACCTTCAGAATGACTTTTATTTTCAAGTCCAGGAAACAACAAGAAGGAACAAAGGTAAAGTCACCAGGGGAGAGCGCAGTGTGTTTGAGGGGCCATAACATGCTGCAGCAGCTCGGCGCAAAATGACCTCTCAATTTAAAGGTGTTGGACACATCTTAATAGCCACATTGGCCACAATTTCAGGGTTTGGATGAAGGTTCACCCACTTCTTATTTGATCCAAACTGGTCCATGTATTCTAACTGTATTGGTGATGAATGAATAAGAAGGAGCCACTGTGTCTGGATGGTAGCTGCTGTGATCCGTGCGTTGACAGTGTGTGGCACTGAGAGCTAGCTTTCAGTGGGGAACTGCTCCATAGTGGAGGTGAGGGCTGGCCCAGGCGAGCGCCACCTCTTGTGATCTGGCCAGAGCAGCCTCAGAACTACAATAGCCCATTGCAGCAGCAGGGAATCACCAATGTGAGACCACCCTGGCCACACCTCCTCCCACCCCTTACCCAATCCTGACATGCCCTCTCCTGGCTCTGCTCCTGACAGGAAGGCCCCCTGCCCCAGTGCCCTTCACCAGGGGTGGGCGTAGTAACAAGGATTTAGATCCAGTGAGCTCTGGTTCAGGAGAGGAAAGTGTCTCTCCAGGCTGGAAAGCTGAATCCTCCCCTGCCTGCGCTTGCTGAGCTAACGCTCCATTGCAGCCATGTAAGAAACCACTGCAGATAAAACTTCAGGCCGTGCTCTCGTCTAGTGATAGACACAAACTCTGGCCTCCGTCCTGTGGGGAAACCTGCCCAGGAGGGACTCGGCAGAGCCGTTGGAGGCCTAGCTGCACTCCCCACACCAGGGCCTTTGCAGCAGCCATGCAGGGTGTGTCTACACTGCCCACTAAGCCTGGGCCCGCCCCTGAGTCAGGTTGGAGCCCAAGCCCCTGTTCCGTCCACACACACATCAGCCTGACTCAGGTCAGCAGGCCCCAGGCCCTAGGACCCTGCTAGTGGGGTGAGTCTCCCTGTGTCTCGGGTCCAAGCCCTGTCACACTGCAGTATGGACGCAGGTCTGCGCAGTGCAGTGTGGACGCATTAGCACAGCTGTGAGACCCAAGTCCAGCCATAGTAAGTCCAGTTGTACAATGCAGTGTGGATGCTCAAGCGCGGGCTAGGAAACCCCAACTCAGCAAGCCCTGGTCCCACAGACCCGGGTTTAATGCAGTGTAGACATACCTGAGCCTCCCTGGAGATATGCTGGAGCCTCCATGCTGCTCCCTGTCCCTCCCTTTCCTTCATGCAGCCCTTTTCCCTAATCAGCTAGGGCAATGTCCGCTCCTAGGCCAATGCCCGTTCTCCGAGGGGGTGCCAGGGCAGAGCTGAAGTTACTCCTGCATTGAGCAGCATGGACCGATATCTGGCCGCAGTTCTGAGGGGAGGGAGCACTGCAGGGCCCACTAACACCTCCCTGCTCTCTTCAGCCATGACCAGACCCTGGGATCCAGGCCCAATCTCTGCCTTTGGTAACACAGACAAACCTGGGGAGATCATCGACTTGAAAGCCAGAAGGGCCATCTGCACTGACCCCCTGTGTGACACAGGCCATAGGAGTTCAGGGAAGTAGCGTTTCACCTTCAAAGACGGAGAAACAAGGCCCCAGTTGGATTATGGGACTAGCCAAGGTCACATAGCAGGTCGGTGGCAGAGTCAGGGGTGGGATCTGAGCCCATGTTGGGCGCCTTAGCTCCTGCATCCCCCGGCCCCCTCCTCTCACGAGAGATTTGTCAGCTCCTGTTTGAGCATTGGTGGCGTGGCCTGGGCATTCGTGCACTGCACTGGGCCCCAGGAGAGCTGGGGTCTGTTCCTGGCTCTGCTGGGTGACCTGCAGCAAGTCACTTTCCCTCTCAGCATCCCCAGCTGTAAAATGGGGATAAAGATACCTAACGTGCTTTGCGCTCTACTGACAGGTGTTATTGTTACTTACCCTGAGTGGCTCAGCCTGCAGCACAATGGCTAGTGCAGAGGGGACCCTTAGACAGCTGCCAGGTTTGCCCAGATCAGACCCGTAACTGTACGGAGACATCGCCTGAATCCCCGTGTCCCCTCACAGTGTTAGACACCTGCCCTCCAGTGCCTGCTTGGCCCTTGTGACACTGAGCAGACAGTGGCTGAGCCGGCTACGCTGGCTATTAACATTAGGGTGAGCTGCAGCTTCATGGCCCATCTCCAGTGGCCCTGCTTATCCAGACGGCTCCAGTCCTCTGCATTGACCTCTCAGTCCACAGACGCTGTCTTGGAACCTGAGAAGAGCTGTCGGCTGGTGTCAGTGGGCTTCGGATCAGCCCCTTCTTGTAAAGTCAGCTTGGTTGGCACATGGTGCATTTGTCAAAGGGCAGCTGGGCTGTGATATCCTCTCTGGGCTTGACCAGCGTGTAAGCAGCCAGCTCTTCCAACTGCAGTCACCATAGTCACACACACCTGGGATCACAGAGCACTTCCCAGCCTTCACAATGCCCCGGGAAAGCAGCTCAGTAGGTTATTATCCCCATTTTACAGATTGGGAAACTGAGCACTGGGCAGTAAAAGCTGGGATTTTCATAAGCACCTAATAGAGCCTGGCCCCAAATCCCAGGGGCCAAGTTCCACCCTTAGTGACAGTGGAGTTAAACACAGTGTGTCTCTGAGAGTGGGTGCCTTACTCCCCTAGGTCCCTTTGACAATCCCAGCCTAGTTGACTCAGCCCTAGAAGGCTGCTCTGATCTGCAGCGGGGGCTGAACTGCCCCCCAAAAGCCCCGGACTAGAGGAGGGCATTGCTGCCTTCCTTGATGCCTGTACCACACTCCACACCAGCAGGGTCTGGCTGCTGCGCTCGCCGGCCCCGTGGAGCAGGGGCTGTGTGAGGCCACTGCGACAATAACCCTCTCTGGGGAACCCCTTGCAGGGGGTGGGGTGTGTCCCGGGAAATGGACTGAGACCTGCCAATTCATTTCCCACAGACCAATAAGGAGGCACCCAAGGATAACGGCTTTCAACGACGTCCCACCTGGGCTGGATTCAGATCAGTGAGCCAGCGACTCAGGGTTCCCAGTCACAACACCCGAGCCCTCCCGTCCCTTCTTTCGATGAGCTGAAGTCCCAGATGCTGGCACAGATGATCTGTCCTTGTGGAACCCAAGGATGGAGAAGTGTTCATTGTAATCAGCTTCTGGGGGCAGTGGCGGATATGATGGAAATCCCCAGGACCCTGCCGTCCCATTGGGCAGGAGAGGGTGGAGTAATTCAAGCCAAGACATGACCCAGGCAGGAGTTTGTGGGCTGAGACAAGGCCCAAAGCTCTCAGCTGTCAGCGATTTCCAGGTCTGCTGATATTCTGATCGGTGAAAGGGGGATTGTTACAGGCCCTGGGTCAGAAAGGACATGGAAAGAAATCCCATTCCCCGGGGAAAGCACAGCAGTCTCCGGCAGCCCTGGCTGCTTCCTGGGGGCACCGCGTCTCCTGGCAATAGGACATCGCCTGCACTGCTCAGCTCTATCCCCCACATTAGCCAAACAATGCCTGCTTCCTTTGGAGTCCCTCCGGACAGAGAGGGAGCTCAGGGCGAGCTCTGGGCAAGAGGCCCTGGCCTCGCATACTCCTACAGTCATGCTCTCATTTGAGCTGAAATCCACTCGGTTCCGGACCTGGAGAAGCTTGAACAAACTTGTCAGTGTATTTTGAAACAGAGAGTGACCCTAGGAGACAGGTTTCTGGGGAGATGGAGCCCCTGGGTCAGCTAGCCCTCCCCCTGCAGAGCCATAGGAAAGATCTTGGGGCTTGACTATACAGAGAGTCAGGGCACGGCACATGGGGTGTCCATCTACAGCGCGCTAGCCTGCCACGCACTACCTGGTCTTGTGTATCCGGCTCCCGCGCACTGCAAGTTCCTTAGTGCGGTTAGCTCTATTGCTGAATGAAAGGGGAGTACGTCACCGGGCATTAGCCAACGTTTAGTGCATGGGAGCAGGGTCCACACGGACAATTAGCACACAGCTGGTTAGTGCGCTGTAGATTTCCACCACAACTTGCTGTGCACCAACCCTCCGTATACACAAGCCCTCACACGGGAAAACACTCTGTAAAATGGATCTTGTTTTGTTCTTGTTCCTTGACAAAGGATTAAACACCATCATTCATCATCTCAGCATGCTGTTCAATGCCCAGTTCTCCATCGGCTATCTCTGCGTACCATCCACCTGCAAGGCCAGCGTGCCACCAACCGATCCAGAGCACCACCCACACGCATGGCCAGCGTCCATCCACCACCGCAGAGCACCATCCACCCTCATGGCCAGCGTGCCATCCATCAGCCCAGAGCACCACCCACCTGCATGGCCAGCATGCCATCCACTGCCCCAGAGCACCACCCACCTGCACGACCAGTGTGCCATCCACCATGCCACAGCACCATCCACCTGCATGGCCAGCGTGCCATTCACCGCCCCACAGCACCACCCACACACATGGCCAGCGTCCATTCACTATCCCAGAGCACCATCCACCCTCCTGGTAAGCATCCGCTCCACCGCCCCAGAGCACCATCCACCCTCATGGCCAGGGTCCATCCACCGCCCCAGAGCACCACCCACCTGCAGGCCCAGCATCCATCCAACGCCCCAGAGCACCATCCACCGATGTGGCCAGCGTCCATCCATCGCCCCAGTGTACTGTTCACCACCTCGGTGTGTCATGCATTGCCTCAGCGCAGACTGCCCACCTCCCTTTCCTTGGTGCACCATCCACCTACATTGCATCTGTGGGGTTGGGGCCTGTTCCTTTCATGGCCGAGCTGCCCAGCTAGAGAGTTCGGGCTGGATGCTGTGAAGCTCTTGTTGCTCTGCTCAGCGAGTTGGAAGCGGATACAGAACAAAGCAGAGCTCTTGGAAACACTTGAAGCGCCGACCGAGTGGTGACTGGACACCACCCCAGCTACCCTCCTGGTGCTCCAGCGACAAGCCTCATGCTTCACCTGCCAGCATTCCCCAGGTGTCAGGGCTACCTACACTCTCATGGCCTGTGTGAAATCTGCCCTCCTGCTTTCTCTGTCTTCCCATCCATTCCCATCTTCACCCTCTCCTTTCTCTGGCCAGCCACCTTCTGCCCACCCCTCAACCCCAATAACTCCCTCCTCTTGGCCCGTGGGAGGGAGGAAAGTGTCATCCCCATTTCCCAGGGGTTGAACAGAGAGCTTTTTGAGGTCCCACTTTCAGCCCCTGGGCTTTGATTTTCAGAGGTGCTGAGTTCCCCCAGCTGCCGTTAGCTTCCACTGGAATTATGGGTGCTCAGCATCTCTGGAAAATCAGGCCTCAGATGGCTCAAATTGGGCCCCTGACATTGGAGCTTCCCCCAAATTAGTGGACACGTTTGCACATTGGTGTCTAAGGGACTAGCCCAAGGTCCCCCAGGAAGGCTGTGACAGACAGCACCTCAGGCAGGACATGCTGCTTGGCCTGCAGCTTCCAGCCATCTGCTGGGGGTGGTTGTTGGTGAAGTAAGAGCCCCTGGGCCAGATGGGAGCTGAAAGAGGATGGGTGGCAGGCAGGGAACAGGCCAGCGGGGTGAGCCCAGGCTGCGTACCATGCAGCCTCATGTGCTGGAAATCCCTCTTAGCATGCAGCTGATTGCTTGCCACCTTTCCAGCCAGGAGACTGACAGCTCATTGCAGTACTAATTACCCCATAGTCATTTCTAAAGGGTTTGCAGGATGACAATCACGCTGCTTCTCTTCACTGTCCCCAGCATCCAGTAACTCCTGACCCCACCACTGTACCAACCCCAGTGCTGCAGACCGTGGTGCTAAATACCAGCTCCAGGGGCTAGGAAGGACCCGCTCCATTCCCTGTGAGTCAGGTGTGCTGGCATCACTGGCTAAGCAGATGGGATTCCACACCCAGTAACGGGCACCTAGTGCAGAGGGCAGCACAAGACCTAGACACCTCTTAGACCCGCTCATTACTTCAGGTCATTCTTAATATATCGCAGCATCGAGTACATGTAGATCAAAGCTGGGAGACCCAAAGGAAAATCCATGGAGGGTTAGTAGCCGTTTCCTAAGAGCTGGGTGATGAGTTGTACGTCACCTCACCAGACATGGCTGCTCATTGTGTCATTGCTGGGTCTCAGATCCGTCTCTCCATGTATATTTGTCCATGTTCCAACACAGTGACATACCCGCCCCACAGAAATACATCACCGCCCGGGGCGATGGTTGGATCTGGCATGGGCAGGGACCTGAGACTACGAGCAGAGCACTCTGCGCTTTGAGCATGTGCCTGCTGCATTCAACATGCTGCATGACAGAACAAGACGCAATGGTCTCAAGTTGCAGTGGGGGAGGTCCAGGTTGGATATTAGGAAACACTGTTTCACTAGGAGGGTGGTGAAGCACTGGAATGCGTTACCTAGGGAGGTGGTGGAGTCTCCTTCCTTGGAGGTTTTTAAGGCCTGGCTTGACAAAGCCCTGGCTGGGATGATTTAGTTGGGAATTGGTTCTGTTTTGAGCAGGGGGTTGGACTAGATACCTCCTGAGGTCCCTTCCCACCCTGATATTCTATGATTCAACTGACCCAGAGCTGCAGTCTGGGAACTGGCATCATTTGTCCTTTCCCCCTAGGGACGGGGATGGAGCAACCAACGCACTCCGCTTGTGACTCAGGGCTCTGAGCCATTCCCATGTGAATCTACTCAGCTTGGTTTTAATCTCAGGAAGTGGGACGCAGTTGTTGAATCAGGGTATGTTTTTGTTGTTGGATTTAGGAAGTGTGTCAAGTTGTTGAATCAGGTATTTGTTCCCTTCCTGTCACAGCGGCTCCTTAGTTTGTTCTGTTTGTCTGCGTTGAAGAAGCTTAAGCCAAGCTTGGCCAGCCTCAATCCACTCCCACCAAGTTTTGCTTATTGTGTCAAAAAGGTCCAAATGTTCATTTCGGGCAAAAGTCACTCCAGTGCCAGGGTCTGCACAAGGCTCTGCAAAGCTTAGGCCAGGATCTGCCATCAAACAGGATTGGAGCATCAAACTCCCTTAGGCTCCTTGGAAGACCCCAGCCCC